TTTCTTAATCATTCCACCCTCCATATTTACTCTTCTGGGAACTGTTTCATGCTTTTGTAATCGGATAAGTATCTAGGAAACTGTATGTCTAATTTGTGTCATGTCATCCTTTTTCAGGTTCTGTGGGATTTCAAACTCATTTGTCAAGCGCAATGTTGATGGAACTCCTGTAAGCATTGCAGCTGCTCAACCAAAAACTGTAGGAACCTCAGGACCTTCAAAGAATAGCTCTGCTCAAAGCAATGTGGTTTCATCATTTCAAAAAAATAAAATCGAGCCATCAAGCTCAAAGTTTGCTTTGCAATCTCCTAGCCCGGTAGAGGATGTGAGAAGTGATGATATTGGTGGAGCCCTACAGGATAAGGCTACCAACTCTTCTGCTGATAAAGAAAAAATTCGTCACTTGCCTTCTACCAAAAAGAAAGGCCAGAGTGACAAAAGCTCTTCTGGAGGTGCAGGTTTATTAGCAAATTTATTGGATCGTGCTTCTGCAAAGTCAAAGTCCACTTGTGCACCAGCAGCTGGTAATAATTCAATTCCAAATGCCAATAATTTGTGTCCTTAACCATAAGCATTTGCATTTTTGTTTCATATATGCATTTAAGAAATTATAAACCAAACTTTTTACTTTACAATCCAGAATTTACATTACTGGAGTGGTTCTGATAGTTATCTTTTCTTTCTGTGCTGCTAGATTTTGTACTGTTATCTGACTTTTTCTTCTTTCTTTTGTACTCATAGCTGACTGCTTCTAGTCACTGCAGATCCACCAATTTGTGTTCATGAAGCAGCTGAAGAAGGGGGCATGGATGATGATGCTTATGATGTTAATTTTAAGGGAGTGTCTAATGGGGAAGGCAACAGGAAAAGGAAAGTAGTTTTGGATTTTTCAGACGAAGATGAGTATGAAGATGCCATCAATTTAGCATCGCCTGATCCCCCCAAAGAGTTAGAAAATGCTAAAATTTTGGCTTCAGAGAAAGCCAATTTGATAGTTGACAAACCAAAGGAAAATGAACCAAATGTCAAGGAAGAGAGAACAACTAATGGAGAACCTAACAAATTGTTAGGGAAAGAAACTTCAGTTGCCGGCAAAAGCACAAACGGTGAAAAGTGCTCTCCAACTAAGAATGAAAATCAGCTTTCTGAAAGTGGTATGAACAAGAAGGATAAAGTGACAGGTGCTGTTCCAAATTCACCTAAAAGGAAAAAAGTTATGAAGACACGGATTGATGAGCGTGGGAGAGAAGGTAAATCAATATTTATGCTTGGTACCTTTAAGAGTTCTGCTTTACATTATATGGATGGTCTTTCAGGTGCATGGTTCCTTCAAACTCAATTATTTGAATATCTGATCCTGCTTATCATGGATTTTAATCCTGCTGATAGTTATTTGATTTTGTTATTGTCATTGATTTTTTGTGTCTTACCCTTCTAAGTTCTAACCTGCACTTAATGGATTGTCATTCTGAAGTCCTACAATAACCAGAGTTGTGTTGATGAAGCTAATGTATCACTTGTGTATATAATAATTTTATACATGAGCTCTAGAAGATTGCCTAAATAGTTTTGCATATATATTTTTTTCTACTAAGTGAACAGACGTGCTTCCAATAAATGCCCTATCAAATTCAAAAAACCTTAATTTTTTCTATTAAAATTTCCCATTTTTCTCATTTATACTGATAACGTTCTTTTTGGTTTTCCCTCTAAAGTCACTGAGGTTGTCTGGGAGGGTGGAGTGGCAGAGGTGAAGAAAGTTGAAAGTGAAATAACATCAAAAGCTGACAGTAATGCAGTGACCAATACTATCAACAGGTTAATTCTATTTTCTCTTCGTTATCTCCCTGAACATATTTTGGTTGTGATGGTTCTCCTCTAGTTTCTAGCTGAGGTGCACTTTCACCATTTTGGATCGTAAATAAGAACTTGGTTACATGAAAAATGTTATTGTGCTTTTCTTCAATGACCTGCATTCATTCTAGCTTTACCAACTTTGGAGTGCTTCTTACAATCATTTTTGCCTTCGCTAATTCAAGTGATTGGAGGCTTGTATATACCATAAACATGGCCTCTGCTATTTTAGTTAATTCATTATGCCTGTTTTAGACTGTAAATAAGCTAGGCTACTGTTTGGTCTTTTAATGCAGGCCTCCTGCAGCCAAGAAGTCTTCTGCCGTAGGAAGCACTGCTCCTAATCCAGGGAGCAAAGCAGGAAACAAGAAAGCAGGAAAAGCAAAGGATCCCAAGCAAGGCAATATCTTATCGTTCTTCAAGAAAGTTTGAGCAGA